TCTTCGTATCCAAGAGGCGACTAACGGGATCGGGTGGTCAGGCTCGTTGACTTGGTTGATGCATGTCTTCGTATCCAAGAGGCGACTAACGGGATCGGGTGGTCAGGCTCGTTGACTTGGTTGATGCATGTCTTCGTATCCAAGAGGCGACTAACGGGATCGGGTGGTCAGGCTCGTTGACTTGGTTGATGCATGTCTTCGTATCCAAGAGGCGACTAACGGGATCGGGTGGTCAGGCTCGTTGACTTGGTTGATGCATGTCTTCGTATCCAAGAGGCGACTAACGGGATCGGGTGGTCAGGCTCGTTGACTTGGTTGATGCATGTCTTCGTATCCAAGAGGCGACTAACGGGATCGGGTGGTCAGGCTCGTTGACTTGGTTGATGCATGTCTTCGTATCTAAGAGGCGACTAACGGGATCGGGTGGTCAGGCTCGTTGACTTGGTTGATGCATGTCTTCGTATCCAAGAGGCGACTAACGGGATCGGGTGGTCAGGCTCGTTGACTTGGTTGATGCATGTCTTCGTATCCAAGAGGCGACTAACGGGATCGGGTGGTCAGACTCGTTGACTTGGTTGATGCATGTCTTCGTAGCCAAGAGGCGACTAACGGGATCGGGTGGTCAGGCTCGTTGACTTGGTTGATGCATGTCTTCGTATCCAAGAGGCGACTAACGGGGTCGGGTGGTCAGGCTCGTTGACTTGGTTGATGCATGTCTTCGTATCCAAGAGGCGACTAACGGGATCGGGTGGTCAGGCTCGTTGACTTGGTTGATGCATGTCTTCGTATCCAAGAGGCGACTAACGGGATCGGGTGGTCAGACTCGTTGACTTGGTTGATGCATGTCTTCGTATCCAAGAGGCGACTAACGGGATCGGGTGGTTGATGCATGTTTTACCGTTTCCCAAGTGCGTGGATCGATGCTCATGATGTCAATCACTGGATTGTCTGGTCAAGACTCCATTATTTACAGACCTACGGAATAGCGCTGAGTGCGGCGTAAAACAACAAACAAACGTGATGTTAAGTGCAATGTCATCCTTTAAAAAACTACACATCGCCCGTAGGTATACTTGAACACCTGCTAGTGTTTACCATTTGATTGGTGTTGGTATACTTGAAAACCTGCTAGTGTTTACCATTTGATTGGTGTTGGTATACTTGAACATCTACTAGTGTTTACAATTTGATTGGGTGTTTTTTTACATTCTATGAATTAACAACAAAATATTTCATAAATTTGAGAAAGTAACGATTAAATAACTCCCTCACCCACGTGACGATTGTCACTTTGAATGTGTCGTGTATTATTGACACAAACGATGCAAATATTGGAAGAGAGCTAAAATTGATCGTACCATGTCCACGCTTTATTGATTTTGATCCAACATGATTTTGGAAGTTGTGCATTTAGGTAAATACACCGGGGCAAGGAAAACATAATTAAGCAATTATTAGGCATTTATTTTGCGAATATTCAATTCAAAACATCAGACCCGTGGTCGAATAGGCCGGTCTTCAACAACCCATTATTGCCAACTAACGGGATCGGGTGGTCAGACTCACAGACTTGGTTGATGCATGTCATCGTATCCCCATTGCGTGGATCGATGCTCATGATATCAATCACTGATTTGTCTGGTCCAGACTCAATTATTTACAGACCGCCGTCATACAGCTGGAATATTGCTGAGTTAAACAACAAACCTAATTAGTATGTATATTAACATAAATTTTGATGATATAGGAGATAGCCCAGAAGAACTGCGCCACTTTGCACAAAAGTGCTACCCCACACCCTTTGTTGGTGATACGCGCGCCCGCCATGATTGCCTCCTTAGAAAGATGACTTACTTTTATTTATAACTTTCTTGCAATTTGGTACCAAGGCATTATTGATATTACTGATGAATGCTTGTATTCCTTTAACGTTAAGGTGGCTGCCCTCCCACTGACACATGGTTCGGTCAGTGGCCACTTTTTTGGGATGGGGGATAAATAAAAAGTTTGTTACGTCACGGTGAGTGAGTGGGTGAGTGAGTTGGGTTTAACGCCGCTTTTAACAGTATTCCAGTTATATCGCGGCGTGTCACTTTAATGTGGGAGGAAAGCCCGAAGTGATGTAGGTCTAAGACGTTTACCACTTCGGTGAAACCCACGAGCACGGGTACGGTGCTGACAAACCTAGAAACATAATCGGGGCGAACCGGGATTCGAACCAACAATCATAGGTTTCTGGCGTGCCCAAGGGACGCAACTCTGCACCCGTGCCCCCCTGCTACGTCACGGAGACGAGTGGCTAGCCGCCTGTTCAGCTTCGATCTGCTCTTTTCCACCTTACGTGGGTCGCGTGCGTTGTGCCTGTAACGGCGTTGAAGAATGCCAGAAAACGAACATGGGTATCCGGTAGGTGTGCCAAGATGCGCACGATAGATGTCTCCATATCAATGAGGAGCTGGTTTGTCTTAATGGAGCCCAGGTCGTTCGAGCCGTGGTGTATGACCACAGCTGAAGGGCTAAGCCGCATTGCCTCCACCTGAGCATCTGTGACCCTGTCCACATCGTTCCACCGCAGACCGCACCCGCCAACCACAAGATCCTTTTGTGGGGCACCAGCTCTGGACGCTGTGGGGACAGCTGTTGTCTTGCCCTTGCCATGAAGTTTGAGTCCACCATTCATACTGGAGCAAATGTACTGTAGTACCATTTGGCAGTTATTAGTTGTTTTAGTTACTGTTACTAACGTGAATAAGTATTTCGCAGGTAGACGATTATAAGACTGGTAGCATTCTGACTTCAACCTGCCGAATTGCTGGATGAGATGTGGTGGTACCCCATCGATAGCTGCTGTAGTTGCTGCTCCGATTCGGAAAGAGTGGGAAGAATAACTATTGAGCTGAGGGCCAAGGCCTTTTTGAGAACAGCTTGCAACTGATACCTGGTCAGCAGTGTATCATCAAAGTGGATAAATGCTTGGGCGAGACCAGATGGGCGCACGTTTAAGTATGCCTTAAGGGCAGCCACTGGGCAGATTGATTTACCTGGTGTCGCCTCTATAACCACTGAATTGCCGTGCCCACGTTGGTCGCCTTTTGAGTGAGGGAGGTGGATAGTAGCTTTCTCCGGTTCACCAGAGTCGTGTTCAGGAGGACGGGCGCTCGCAATATTACGCGTACTTGTACGTACCTGTTATTAGTTTAGTAATCAGGAAATGATTGGTATATTCTTCTTAGTGAAGATCCGGGGTAGAATAGGTCTTCAGCAACCCATGCTTGCATGCTTGCCGTAAGAGGCAACTAACGGGATCGGGTGGTCAGACTCGCTGACTTGGTTTATGCATGTGATTTAAGAGGCAACTAACGGGATCGGGTGGTCAGGCTCGCTGACTTGGTTGCTGCAGGTCATCCCAATTGCGTGGATCGATGCTCATGATGTCAGTCACTGGATTGTCTGGTCCGGACTCGATTATTTACAGACCGCCGAAGCCGGAATATTGCTTTGTGCGGCGTTAAACAACAAACAACAACGACAACAATTGCCAAGCCAGGGTCTTCTGTCTGTCTACAGCTTCATGTTTCGACACCACTTTCAGAAGGTCAGGGACTGAACATTAATTGGATTTCCATGTCAGGTGCACCTGACAATATCCCCCAGAACACAAACTGTTGATGCACCCACTCTACCAAATGCATATGCACTGAATGCACAGATGCTCCGAATACGAGAAGCGCATGCTTGTCTTTAATAGGAGTGATAATAAGTGTTGATTGATACAAATGAACTTAATTCACTCACTCACTCACCTGGAACAAATGGCAGGATATAAACTGCTCTCATATGTGACAAAGCATCCTGAGAACATATTTGAAATAGAACATTGATGTACAAGGGTACACTTGTGATTATGTGATAAAGTGTCCTGTTTGCAGCAGTATGTTGAAGCACTTTTGAGAGCCTCTATAGATCTTGGCCAACGGCTCTAAAACTGCGATTTACACAGGATGGTTGGTTGGTTTGTTGTTTAACGCCGCACTCAGCAATATTTCAGCTATATGACGGCGGTCTGGAAATAATCGAGTCTGGACCAGACAATCCAGTGATCGACACCATGATCCACGCAATTGGGATCGATGATATGCATCAACCAAGTCAGCGAGCCTGACCACCCGATCCAGTTAGTCGCCTTTTACGACAAGCATAGTCGCCTAATACGGCAAGCATGGGTTGCTTAAGACCTATTCTACCCCGGATCTTCACGGGTCGATTTAAAAAGGGTACGCAGCTATTTGTAAATATATGACCATATAAAGGTCATATTAAGCAACTCGATAATGGTCTCTCTTGTTTGCAAATATCAGGTTTTGCCCCACTTCCTTGATTACACGAAACACGGTCTCTAAATGCAGGAATTATTAACGGTCTATAGCCTATGGGTTGGATCGTTGATGAAGAGTTAAAATCTATGCAATATGTATGTGTTCACGGCCTGATCGTTAAACCAGAACTCGTTGTGAAAATATAAGCGGTGGTCGTTGTATTGATTACGTTAAACGCTTGTTTACCAAATTGCCTCAATGTTTCAAATACGGGTATCCACTCCCCTGACGTATACCTATTTCAATTAAATATTGGAGCAACAGACATACAACTTTTTATCGCAGGTTTGCAATTTCTGTAATAGAAACACAAAAAGGTATGTTATTATTAAATAAGCATACAGTATATTGTTCATGCTCACAAGGCCTCTTCTTGATTTTGTTTGCTCAGCGAATTGTTTGTAATCTAACGCTTTCTGATGGTTCAGTTGCCATAGCGACATGAATCTTAGGAAACTGTTCTATGGATTACTGTAAGCGACAACGTATTGCTCATTGAATAAATTATCTGCAAACAGAATCAATTATTTCTCGATAATGTAGCATAGTTAAATGGTAAACACTACCCGCGTTATTGATTCCATCGGTGTCTTTATGCGCACAAAGACTTCTGTCAGTTGCCACTGCATTTTGTTGTGGGGATCGCTACGTAGGCCCACCATGTTGGTGTGGGTCCTTGCTTTTGGTGTTCTCAACTGTGAAACGTTTGTCCGTGGAGGTAAAACATGTCATTGTTTGTCTTTATTACCTGTTAAGTAATGATTTTTATTTCACTTTTTTATACTTTAAAGAATGTGTAGAGAAGTCGTGTTTTCCGAAGTCAAGCGAATGAATAATATAAACTTCTACGCGAGTCCATGCATCATTTGTTTTTGGACCCCTGAAGATCCGGGGTAGAATATGTCTTCAGCAACCCATGTGATGACCAGCTCTTTTGTATTTCTCAGCTCCTGAAGATTACGTTTACGTCTATGGATTTGCCACCTGGCAGCAAGCCAGTGAATCATGCGCACATTTTGGGATGAACTTGCTTTCTATTGCGAACGAAACAATATTTACAGAGGCAAAAAAATACCTAGCTGGAACTCATGGGCCGGGGTAAGTACTTGTTATTAGATGGAAAAAGGCTGGCATTGGCGTTTAATAAGAAGATAAAATGTTTATTTAGATCTTTGCCGAGTCACAGAAATGATATATAAATGCATTTAATATACAAGTTAAGTTTAAATTTCAAATTATGTATCCAGTTATATCTCAAGTATATACAGAGAAACAGCTTCCTTTCGCCATTTTCTTTCACTGACTTGGGTTTTTAAAAACATCCACTCGGTCACCTGTGTCACATTATAAGTTACATATGCCACTCCGGGGTGTTTAGGACTTTGTAAGCTGAATAGGCTTATAACCCACGATATATTTTTTTAAGAAGGTCCATTTCTGTCGAGCGATATTACAGCTCCAGCATTTGGCGTCTACATTTCAAAACAATCGAACATGCTCTTTCTACGAATATACAAAGATTTCAATGAACATCATACGACTCTTGCTCACAAGTTGTCTGATCAAAGTTACACCATTTAAGGCCTCAGTAAAACTAACTCTTGCTCACAAGTTGACTGATCAAAGTTACACCATTTAAGGCCTCAGTAAAACTGACTCTTGCTCACAAGTTGTCTGATCAAAGTTACACCATTTAAGGCCTCAGTAAAACTGACTCTTGCTCACAAGTTGTCTGATCAAAGTAACACCATTTAAGGCTTCAGTAAAACTGACTCTTGCTCACAAGTTGTCTGATCAAAGTTACACCATTTAAGGCCTCAGTAAAACTGACTCTTGCTCACAAGTTGTCTGATCAAAGTTACACCATTTAAGGCCTCAGTAAAACTGACTCTTGCTCACAAGTTGTCTGATCAAAGTTACACCATTTAAGGCCTCAGTAAAACTGACTCTTGCTCACAAGTTGTCTGATCAAAGTTACACCATTTAAGGCCTCAGTAAAACTGACTCTTGCTCACAAGTTGTCTGATCAAAGTTACACCATTTAAGGCCTCGGTAAAACTATCCAAAGGTTTTATGGTAGACATGTGGAGGGATTTGACGCGTCAGTTACAAAAATAATGTCCGAAGCAATTCCCTATTTTGACATGTACTTAGATTCCCGTTTTTGTCAGGTGAACAATTGGCTTGCCTCTGCATGTGTTTGTGACGGGTGACACCGGTGGGGCAGGATACGCTCACCTTTTCGCGAACTCCGGTATCATCCCTATTTAATACTAAGAGTGTTTCATAAACACATGCTCATGATATACATGTAGTTGAAACATACAACCGACTCTCCTTGTAGCAGATATTTCCTATGAATATGGAAATGGTCTGGTCGCCGATGTTTACACTAATGTTTGGCTCGTAAAACCCCGTACACCCTGCTAGAGTCACGTGTAACGGAAATATCATAAGGACCGCCCAGCATGGCAGCTCTATTGCGAAAAGAGTCAGCTGTGACGTGAAACACAAGTGACGGCGTGCTACACATTCCGGCGCAGTGGTGCCTCAGGCTAATTTGCATATATATCACTTGACTTTTCTCTTGTTCGTAAACAAACGCGCTTTTTCAGAAATCAGAATAGGACGGACTAATGCAAGTATTTGGGGACGCTTTACATATTGTTTGGCATAATTATATAAATATGCTAATACAACTGCGACAGTGAGTTGCATCACAATACATATTTGTCCATCAAAGTGACCGTATCGCTAGCCCTCCGAAGGGCTTCGATGACAGCACGTGGAGCCGTACAACCAATGTAAACATAGGATACCTACGCAAATGGAAATAGTTTTTCACGAGTTAGGATATTTTTTCAATGAAAGTTAACCATTCTTTGACATATGTTCATCTAGATATGTAGACTTGTCAAAATGAAACATATGAAAAACATGCAACATTTTGAATGGACTGTGTAAGATGTGACGAATTGTCACATGGCGCTGGCCTGTGGCAGAGGTACTATGCTTAACGCATGAAACTCTGGGTAGGAGAGTGGGCGTGCTAACCTGACCAATCGACCTGGTTTGGTGTCAGCATTGGCAAATCGGAAAAGTTTTTTTCTTTTCTTTTTGGCAGAATAATAACTCTTAAGTGCTAACGTTGAATTTGTTTTCTTAAAGTTATTTTCGTGTATCTTTAGTAATGATAATGTTATAACTGTATTGCTTTCGTTGTTGAAAATGTAGCGTTCTTGATTTAGTTCTGTTATAGGCAAGATTAGAATAAACGTATAATCAGGTGGAAATTAGAAACTGATTTAATATGTCTAATAAAACAACAACGAAATTACGGTTTTCTATGTTGAACGTCCATCCAACTGAGAACGCAATAACGTTGACTTCCAGGGGTGTAGCCAGCGGATTATGGATAGGTCTACGCTTTGTTGGGAGTGGCACACCAGACTTGAGTAAGTTCCAGTGGGAGGATGGCTCTTCTCCAACGTGGTCAAGCTGGACAGCCGGTTCCCCGCCCAGCTCTATAGCCTCAAGTATGTCGTGTGGGGCTATAGTGACCACTACATCCGCCATGAACTACGAGTGGGAAATGGACCGCTGCAGCAAGAGGAGACCATTTGTATGCCAAGGTGATTATATTTCCCGTGTTTTAAGGACGGGCATAGCACCACATTAACCTTTACTGTTTCTAATTAATATGCACGGCGAGAGCCTGGGTTCCCCACATGGTCTATAACCCATTGTAGTGTCCCTTGCCATTTGGCTGGAATATTGCCAAAAGGGCAAAACGCAATCAGCACACACTCGAACCATTTCCCTGAATTATTTTTTATCATCTTGTTTGTTGCTAGCTTGTTTGTTGTGCTAGTGGCTTTCCCCAAAGTGAAAAGCGTCTAAGCGTCTACCGCTTTTAACGGTATTCAAGTTATATCACGGCGTGTCAGCTTAATGTGGGAGGAAAGCCCGAAGTGATGCAGGTCTCAGACGTTTACCACTTCGGTGAAACCCACGAGCACGGGTATGGTGCTGACAAACCTAGAAACATAATCGGGGCGAACCAGGATTCGAACCCACAATCATAGGTCTCTGGCGTGCCCAAGGGACGCAACTCTGCACAGAGAATTGCGGTGCCTTAGACGACTGAGCCGCCCGTGCCCCCTAATCAGATTGCTGAAGATCTCTGTAGGTATGGCCCGTGGTCGAGGAATCACAAGACAGCACAATCGCCAAATTGGCACAAGCCACGCCCCGATGCATTCCCATCTGTGATTCGTTTGAAAGATTCACTAGAACAAGCAATTTCACTTGGTATCCAGTCAGCTTCAACTACAACTCGTCACACATATGCAGACATAAAGTTGAAGAGGAGCGATCGAGTGACAATCATTAGTTGGGACAAGAACCAGACCACTGTGCGTGGAGTTAGAAGTGAACTCAACATTAATATTCTTGAGGGCCACATGTGTGATTAAGGATAAAATTACTGGAATATCACAGAGTAATAGTTAAAACTAGCATATAACCATAAAAAGGAATCACTATATGTTACAATACAATATAAAAAAGGGCTATAGATCGCCAGCATCTGAAGGTAGATCACCATGCTAGGGTCCATGGGGACTTATAGTACCTTTGCTAAATTTAGCCGAAATTTAACAGAACACAGATTCTACGATTAAAACGGTTGTGGCACAGGTGTATTTAGTGGGAAAACTTGTTAGCCTGAAACTATCCAAGCATTTTGCTAACTTTTGGAGGGGTGCATTTGACTTTGAAAGATCAAGAGGCCCAAATTTAAACGTGATGGACCTGAATATAGATGTAGTGGGTTTTCTTTTGTATGCTTTCGTTGGAATTTTACCGAATTAACCTGCAGAAGCAGCTGTCATGACCCTTTGAGATAGGAAAGAGCCTGGACAGCCTCCGGAGCGGGAGTGGTGACACATGCAATACCACCAACCGCTCTACTGCAGTTTACCAACAACGCAAGAGTGGCACGAGAGAATCCGAGTGGAAAGTAATGATCGGTCGACTAACAGCCTTGAACGAGATGATAATGGGGCGGTTGGGCAATCTAATTAAACTCAGATGTTCGTTCTCACTACAAGCAAACAAAGATCTCAGGACATCCCATCACGGGTCACGTCCGTACGGCCTTTCATCCGACCAATCAGAGCGTCGCTTACGTAATCGGGAAAGTGACAGTTCAATGTGTTTTCTAATCATGCAAGTAGTAGATAATGTGGATGTCCAGCACCTTCCGCGGAAGGTGCCCTATGAATATTTATGAGCCTATTGTTATGCTAATAGACATGCATGACGTCACAATGAGAACGGCGCAATTATGCATGCATGTTAAGAATGTCAAGAATGCGGCCTTTGTTAAAATGTCATAGTTGAGGAATTCTTTAGGAATGCCAGCTATGTGGAATTCTTTAGGAATGCCAGCTATTTGGAATTCTTTAGGAATGCTAGCTATGTGGAATGTAGTCGGGGTAGAATTCTTCAGATGTGTACTAGAATGATCATCATCAAATGGAATGTCATCCCTTTTGTGAAGAAATTTGGAATTCTTTAGATATGCCAGCTATGTGGAATGTAGTCGGGGTTGATATCTTCAGATGTACATGCATACTAGAATGATCGTCATCAAACGGAATGTCACCCTATCGTGAAAGAATGAAACAGTTCTCGGTCTCTTGATATAGCTACTAGCTAGTAGAATGTCATCATCGAGACGAAGAGGAGAATGTACAAGTTCATTCACCATTTGATCATCACAGTCGACTGCGAGGAAATATATATATATTTTTTTTGTCTTACAAAATACAGACGGACCTTTCATTTTTGGATGGAAAAAATCTGATTTAACCAATACCATCAAAAATGTTCACTAAAATAATGAATAAAAAATAGAATAGGTTTATTAGAATATTTCTCAACTTTATTCACGCCGTTGTATATTTCGTCGTAAAAAGTCAGTCTTATTCTTATTTTCAATCTTAATTTTCAACTCTGTCATATATTTCGTCGTTAAAAGTCAGTCTTGTTCTTATTTTCAATCTTAATTTTCAACTCTGTCATATATTTCATTGTAAAAAGTCAGTCTTATTCTTATTTTCAATCTTAATTTCCAACTCTGAAAGATTTCCTTCCCTCATATCGTGCCCTAAGTTTCCCATCTAAATGCTTAATCCGACCATACACGTTCTTCTTAAATTATATCCGGTTCACATCACATGTTATTCACCGAACATATGATAAATGAATGTAAGTATGTTGTAAAAGCTAGGTTGAAATGAAACATCCCAAGTTCTTATTAAGGATACATGAACAGTTTCAGAATAGTGTTATCTCACCGATAGTGTTTTCCAAATCCTATTGAAATTCACGAAACACATATCTTCCGTGTAGCATTTATCCCTTATTCCACAAGGCTTTAAGAACTTTTACCCACCTCAACCCTACACTGTGATATACCACCGTAAATGGTCTTATAGAAATTACCCCCCCCCCCCCCCCCCCCCCCCCCCCCTTATGGTAACCCATGTTTAAGGTACAGTACCCTGTTTAGAGATAATACGTTAGTATGTACTCTGAAAATAATGTTTACCTCATTTGACATCTGTATAAATAAAAAATAGTATAGTTTTATAAAAAAAATCTCTACTTTAAAGGAGTAGTAAGAAAACTAATATATGGTCAGAACAATGCCCCAAACCTCCCTTTGTGGTAATAGGAATGTCTGGAATGTGGGGAATGGTATGGCACGTTTGGTCTATTATGGAATGTTTTGAATGTTGTAGAATGTCTGGAATCGTATGGTACGTCTGCTCTGTTGTGGAATGTTGAGAATGTCTGGAATCGTATGGTACGTCTGCTCTGTTGTGGAATGTTGAGAATGAGTACTGGCATGTCTGGAATGTTGTAGAATGTCTAGAATCGTATGGTACGTCTGCTCTGTTATGCTCGGAATGTAGAGAATGGGTAGGAAACGTCTGAAATGTTATACCACGTCTGGTCTTTTATGGAATGTCTACAATGTTCTAACGCATCTGATTTATTATAGAATGTCGCGAATGTGTATCCCCAGTTTCATTACACAGATATATTCAACAAAAGCTATGTACGCGAAGAAAACGTAAACCTTGTCATAAGCTGATGAAGAGATCGAGCAGTTATCTAAGTATTTGTCTATCATCTTCCTTTTCCATCGCGTGCAACACTGACCCCTATCTCAACGACCATGTTACCCTAGTAGTAGAAAAAATATGGCTTTGAAAGGAATTTCTGCAATTGTATTGCAACAACAAGGAAACGCGTGTTGACAACAATGTTAGATTCAATTGTTAAGTACACCATCACCACAGCTGGCGGAATGTAAAACATTGGCGCACAGTTTCAACGACGTCTCGAGGAATCATCGACAATATCTATTTTCCATATTCAAACGTCCACAAGACTCTCTCGTTATTTAATCACGAGTCACTGATTCGCGCTTGGGGGTAGAAGCAATAGTTTTCTTTCACATCTTTGAATTATTATATATTTCCTGTTTCATTAAAAAGAAGCTTATTCACTTGAACGCCCACGCTTTACAGCTGATGGACCGTTAAGTACGTATTCAATCGCCGAGGTAGAAACAACTTTATCGTCTCGTTGTGAAGTAAACATACTACAGCGACTATCGAACATTGAAATAAACTATGTTAAAAAGTGACCGATCATTCCAGTTTGGTTCTTGGTTGGTTAGTTGGTTGGTTTGTTGTTTGTTTAATGCCGCACTCATCAATATTCCAGCCATATGACGGCGGTCTGTAAATAAACAAGTCTGGACCAGACAATCCAGTGATTAATATCATGAGCATTGATCCACTTGGTTCTTGGCTTAAAGTGGAAGCAATATTCACCGTCTTCCGTTGAAGTTCATGATTACTTCCTGGTTGTTTTTTGTAACTGAACGAAAATTGTACAACATGTCATCTCCCGATGGAAAGTGCGCCCCAGGTTTATTAGGGAGATCTGATGTTAATCGTCAAGTTGCTGACGAACGTAGAAGAGGCATATGTATCAGACCCTTTCACAGGGAGGACGCTGTAGTCGGAACTCTGGTTGGTTTACTGATGTTAGCAATCACCCTTTTAACTGTCGTTAATGCGGTTACTATTTCGAATTGGAAAAATAAAACTTCACAGTAAATAGACAGTGAACCATTTTTTGACGACCCACCTATTGAACCAACCCTCAGTCTACAGTCTATCAACGCTTCTTCACGGTGCTCGAACACACAATTTGTCTTATCCTATTTAACGCGAGCTGTCGTTTGTCGTAGCGAAAATCGCACCGTACTTAACGTGAGACAGTTTCTTAATGAAAAACCAACAATAAAAGGCACAACGCTTACTCAGGGCGAATGGAAATTGATGTTACGTCTGAAACCTTTTATCCGTGCACAAATCAGATCCATGAATGAACGGACAACGAATAAACGAACACTGCCTGAATGATCTCCACGAACAATTTAAACTTACATATTTAGGCTATCAACAATGGGCTAAAAGACGATGAAAAGAAGAAGAAAGTACTCGAAGTTTACTACGCTCATCAATGAAAACCTACATGCCATAGA